CAGTAGCCTCTGTGGAGGACAAGATGCGGGAGTCGAGGCTGAGATGGTTCGGACATGTTAACCTGTCAGGAGGTGTGAGAGGTTGGCTATGGAGAGTTTGAGAAGAGGTCAAGGTAGGCCTAAGAAGTACTGGGGAGAGGTGATTAGACACGACATGGCGTTGCTTCAGCTCACTGAAGACATGACCCTTGATAGGAGGGTGTGGAGGTCGAGGATTAAGGTAGAAGGTTAGTAGGTAATTTATAGTTGTTCACCGATAGTCTTAGTAGCATGCATGTCCCTTCATATTCTTAGATTTCTATTACGTTATGTGGTTGTGTTTGCCTCAGGTATTGTATTCTCTGCTGCTATTATTTGGTACTACTTATCCTTTATCCCCCTTTTTTTTCTTTTCCCTTCCTTCCTTACTTTCCACTTCTTCTTCTTGTCCTTCCTGAGCCGAGGGTCTATTGGAAGCAGCCTCTCTACCTGCATTAGGTAGGGGTAAGGTCTGCGTACAGACTACCCTCCCCAGACCCCACCTGTTGGGATCAAACTGGGTTTTTTGTTGTTGTTGTTGTTGTTGCTATAAACATTAAAAGGTATCTATAGAATATAATTTTTTTTAAATGGTATTTATTTAAAATAAATAAGGTGTTAACCTTTGCTATAGGAGGTAAAAATTCCATAAAAAAATAATTAACAGATATAGAATGTTTGTATGTCTGTATTTGTTAACCACATTGAAGATTCCATCAACATAAAGAGGACTGTATTCTCTTCATTATTTGTGGAGAGCCAACTTGTTTCTGAGCCCGTCTATGTCTAAATTTTGATGTCAACCCACTTATACGAACATTTCTCAAGATGTATCCAAAATTTAGAGAACTAAAATAAAGAATATGCTTTTGCCGGTGGAAGTTGTTTAAAAAGTCAAATATCATTGCAGTGCAAATGCAAGGTTAAATTCAACAAATCGTATAAGTAAAGAAGAAAGAGAGATAGCACAAAACGTTGGTAATTGTCAACATTGTGCTGTAACAATGAGATCGAGGAATTAAGTAACGGTATCATCATATTCAGCATTCCCCAATCACCACTCCTAAGTCTTTAAATTAATGATTAGGATGACATATGGCGCCTTAAGCGACTTTTCATCAATTAATTATTCAAAAGAATTTTGGATTACGACATTCCTCTGATAATTACACCCAGTATTATTCCTTAAAAATATTTTTTGGTGAGTTTGTCCATAATTAAATTATATTCACGTACAAGAAAATGACAAGTGCAAAAAAACCCCGATAAATTTGCCGATCCTATTTATTTTTTTTAATCTCATTTTGGTAATTGAGAATTTTCTTTGTCCATAACATGCATGATATTTTTAATTTCTTTAACTTTAGCATGAAATTCTGGTTTTTCTCTGTTTTCCCCGACTTCACTTAACCACGTAATTGTGTTTTTGTTTAGTCTCATAGAGATACTCTTGCCTAGATCTAGGAAGCCAACAAAAATATGTAGATATTCATATACATATTGATAAATAAGAAATATAATTACTGTCCCCTAACTGCTTATAAATCCCAAATTGCAGGATCACATCGTTTTGGTATTGTTTATGGTAGTCCATAACACCACTATTGAAGGATACATGAATTATTTAATTGGACATGTGTCTCTTTAGAAATAGTCAAACATGAAATCCAACATCCAAAATCAGTAGTGGCCGTGAATAAGAAGAGAGATATAGTATTTTTCGTAATCAAATAAATATTGAAATGACGAGTGGAATGTTTCTAAAAAAAATTCTTGTTAAAACCTATTTTAAAACATATCTTTTCTGACAAATTGGTGTGCCTTCTGCATACCAAGCATTATTCTCTTTCTCCTATTTGAAGTGATATTCTTTTCTCATTAATCAGTCTAAACAAGAATAGTATATTTATATTTAAAAATATTTTACTTTGGACTTCTCTTTTTATCCTTGATAAAGAAATTTTAACCATGTTTTAGCATATTTAAAAAAATTTGTAAAAATCTTATAATTATAGAAATGTTATGACATAATTAATACCACAAGTTACAAAAAAGTTTGTTTATTCTTTAAACTCGTGTTGAGTCGGATTATATCACATAAATTGGAACAAAAAAGTAATAGTATATTTTATTGAATAACTTTACGGAACAACAAATGGAACCATATAAAATCTCTCACTTTTGCACGTCTCAAGTACTAAAGATTAGTCACACTAAACAACTTTGATTAATTAGTATATTTCAGTTTATAATTTGTTCTAACATACCAAGATTTTAATTTGGTATAAGCCACCGCAAGAGGAGCCTTTCATCAGAATATGCAACTTTTTTCGTCTCCAGATTGAGTTGTCATTACCAAAAATAATAGAAAATCCAATTCACAACTTAGTTTTCAATTAAACGTCTTGTGTAAAATTTGTTCCCCCACTTTCCTATAACACTTGAGTTATCTTTTTTAACAAGTTTTCATACTATATATTCATATATAGTTGTCCTCTTTTGCAACATCCAGAATTATCACGTTTGCAACGTCCAAAATTGCTCCAGCTCTGAATAACATGTTTCTAGGGTTTATCTTTAGTTAATAAACAAAGAAAGAAATTATAAAGACGTTGAAATAGGAAAACAAGGTTGAAATAAACTCTCTTTTCTTTCTTTATTTCTTTTTTTTTTTCTTTTTTTTGGCTCTGTCGATACTGTTTTATATGGAATTTTCATTTATATGAAAGAACGAGAAGTTTTATTGTGTGTCTCACACAACTTATATTAGTTGTGTGAGACTCCTTTTTGTCTCACAAATTTGTGGACCCCAATCTTATACTTCTGGGTCCACAAAGCTGTGAGATTAAAAAAAATACTACAACTAGTGTCAGTTGTATGAGACACAAAATAAAATTTTCTTGAAAGAGCCATACTCTCGAATTTGAAGATTAGAAAATATTCATCAGTGATAAAGGTGTCTAAATGCAATCCAGTTTTTCCTAATAAAGGAAAAAGGAAACCAGATATTTCCCCAAAAGAAACGTAGTTGCACGTTAGCCAAATTTTCTTTAAAACCCTTAGGAAGGAATTATGATATCTCAAAAATAATGCATTTAACTTTATTTTCACACGGATTACGTTTAAATCACTTTGACTGACTTATAATGATCTCGAGTTATATATCCAAAAATGTTAGGAGAAAAAAGTCAGTTTTCATGCGGAAGCTAGCAAAACAATACAGATATACAATATAGGGTAAAAGGTATTGGATTCCAATACACGAAAACCCATACGCTTAAGACTAGATCCGCCCCTAATTGTCCGTCAATCCAAAAGGACCAACCAAAAAGGGTAAAGAGTTAGAAAATAAAATTACTGGTGGATTCGCACACATGAGATTCAATTTTGTGAAAGGTCGTTTATTCCTTCTTAATATCAACTTTACATATACTTTAATGGAATCCATTTTAATGGTTTGAATTAATCATACTGGTAAAATAGAAAGTCAGACGGCTATCAAATTCTCTGTATGCTACTATTTTTAACACTAGTGGATGAAAAAAATATTCATTCTTAATCCTTTCTTTCTAAGTCACTAAGAATTCCAAGTCCTAGCTAACAATGCATTATTACTTATGTGAAATCAAAACTATATATGTGGCATACATTGTTGTACCTTCTTTGCAACGATCAAGTTCTCTTCGTATGACTTATAGGTAACGGACGAGTCGTGAAAGCAGCCACTAATACTTGCATTAAGATAAAATATCTACATTATATCCTTAAGGGTCCGACTCTTCCCTAGACCTTACGTAAATGCATAATACTTTATGCATGACGACCCTTTTACATTGTTTTAACTTTTTTCTAGACATTATTTTTTATCAACTTATTATCCAAAAAATGTACTAACTGCCAGTGGCAAAATACATGTGAATTTCCTCAATATATGAAAGATCAAAGTTTTGGTAGACATTCAAAGTAACCTCTCTTATCATCTCCAACAAGCAATCATTTTCCTCCAAAAGTATACAAAAGCTAGAACTCAAGAACCACCCTGCACGTTTCCCTTGCTTAGTATAAATTTTTTATATTAATTTTAAAATAAAAAAGAAGCTAAATGTTAGTAAATCTTTATACGTCACTTCAACCAACGTTATAATCTCAATGGAGAAATTAAAGTAGATACTATCGCATTCACTTTCAAAAAGGTCTATTTTCAGACAAACCTTTTTATCAGTATTTTAACGTTTATAATGCAAGTAACTTTTATTAAAAGAGACAAATCGTACTTAGCCTAATGATTCCAAAACTCACTTGATTGCCTCAGAGGATAAAAACAATTACTACTCCCCTGAGATTAAAACGTTGGTTGAAGTGACGTCTTGTGATTTAATTCTTTGTCTTTTTAGTTTCTATTTATACTTATCCTATCTTTATATGTCGCAAAAATATTACTCCTTCCCTCTAAATTTAAGTGTATACTTTTTTAGTTTATTCCAAAAAGTATTATATTCTTTTAACAAAAATAAATTAATTTAAACTTCATGAGACAATTTATAGTGAATTAAATATCCATGACTTATTTTAGATTATAAATTTCTAAAGCTTTTTTCCCTTATCACTCCATATCCTGTCAAAGAGTGCCGCATAAACTGGGATAGATGGAATTTCAATATAGTTTCTTATTTTTGAGAACTTTTTTACTCCTTGTTTTTTTTTACTCTATGTTCTATTCAATATGACGTTTTTACTTTTAGTTTGTTTAAAGAAATACTAACGTTTTCCTATATGTGAAAACTCATTAATTTTAAACATTTTTAATTTTATTCATATTAATATCATGACATATTTACTCTACAAGTTCTAGTAAGATGCTGACATGAATCTAGCGTTTCTTTTGACAATTTGTACATATTTTGGTCTATATTTAAAGAGTCCTCTTATATATTTTTTTCTTTGAAATTTGTGTTTTGTCAAACAAAAACTACAAACAAAAGCGTTAGAACTTGGAACCACACCACTATATACACAAACAAACTTACGGTTCACAAACTGGGAAATCTTCTCCGGTCCCCTCCCTCCCTCCTTCCCCCTCTCTCTCTCTCTCTCTCTCTCTCTCTCTCTCTCTGGACCCATAATTTTCTCTCTTTTGACTTTCTTCGGTTCTGTGTTTAGACTACTTGTAAAATGTCAACCGGTGGCACCGCCACCAATTCCGCCAGCGGCAGTCCCCGAGCGGGCGGCGGAACCGCCACCCACCACCGCCGCCGTGTCGCCGAAACCATGAACGACCCCGAAAAATTATCAGATCATTTACAAATCGGGCTTGATTATTACGGTGATAATAATACAAATATCAACGCTGGTGGAAACTTTCATCATCACCATTATCACCATCACCATCATAATTTGATAATACGTTACTTATTAGCATGTAAATGGATGTCAGAAAGTATGGTATTTAGAGTAGAAGAATGTTTATTAAGTATTGGTACAATTATGGCATGTTTAGGATCAAGAAAGAATATGGTTCGTACGATATTTGGGTTGTTATTGTTTTTGGTGGTTTTATCTGTATTTCTCAAGTTTTCTATTATGATGAATGGTAATGTTGAAGATGTAAATAATGGGAATCTGATGAGGAGAGAGAACGGACTTTTTGTTCTTCAGAATTTGAAGAATGATTGGATTAATGCTCAAAGAGTTGTTTCTGAAACAGAGACCACTGCCTTTTCTGCTTCTGAGGTTGTGCAAAAACGTCAGATGAAGGAGTTACCTGTAAGTTGTGCAAAATCACTTCTTTCTCTCTTTAGTTTTACTTTTTTCCTTCTAAGTTAGAATAGTGAAAATATTACCTAATTTTGGTGTTCATATAAAATTGTTTGAGTTACACGGTGTTTGTGCTAGTGGGAGTTTAACTAGTACATGGTGCAATAGTTGGTGCGTGCAAGCTGATTCGGACACCACCGTACCCAGCTTTTACAATGCATTTTTGGTCCAGAGCTTGATATACTTCTTAAAAAAGTGATTTTTAGAAATACTAATTTTCAGGATGAAACTTAGGTAATAATTGTATTTTTAACTTTTATGGATAGAATGAGGTTTGGCATAGTTTCTGTTAATTTTTTTACCTGGAAAGAAGGGGAAGTAGTAGGCAGCAATAAAGCTTAAAGGTTGTTTGTGGGCAATGGCTAACTGGCTGTAGGGAATGATTAGGTGACCGTTGTGGTCCCAAGTATGTTGGATATTCTGTTTATTTTTGGCTAATTAATAGCCTGTTTGGCCAAGCTTCTTTTTGGCCAAAAGTTTTTTTTTTTTTTTTTGCCAAAAGCACTTTTGGCCAAAAATTAAGGTGTTTGGCCAAGCTTTTGGAAGGAAAAAAAGTGCTTTTGAGCAGAAATAGAAGCAGTTTTGGAGAAGCTCCGAAAGTAATTTTTTGAGAAGCACTTTTGAAAAAAATACACTTAGAAACAGTTTTTTAAAGCTTGGTCAAACACTAATTGCTGCTCAGAAGTGTTTTTCAAACTAATTAGCCAAACATAAACTGCTTCTCACCGAAAGTACTTTTGAGAAAAGCACTTTAACCAAACATAAACTGCTTCTCACCGAAAGTACTTTTGAGAAAAGCACTTTAAAAAAAAAGTACTTCTCAAAATAAGCTAATTTTTGCAGCTTGGCCAAGCGGGCTATAAATGAGATAGTATTGACTTTCTTTAGTTCAAGTTACTGTTTTCTGTTAAGCTTTTTCAGTAGATTTAGAACCTTCATTACTACTCTATTTTCAGATGTTTTGCATTGGGCAGGATATGGTTTCTCATTTCGATTACTCGCAACTATTAGGTTTGATTGACATATCTAAAGCACTATAGCTCAATATTTGATTGTTTTGGACAGGTACCAGAAATATGGTTGAAGCCACCCACTGATAATTACTACAAATGCATTGCTCGGCCAAGGAATCGAATAAGTATGTCAAGCTTTTAGATTTTGAATCCTGAATATTCACTTTTTTCCTATTGGATCAGTTTCATTCCTATTTTTGTGTATACTTACATTTGGAATTATTACAGGAACTGGCTCATCGACCAATGGATATATCTTGGTTCATGCCAATGGAGGATTAAACCAAATGAGAACAGGGGTGAGTGAAGCTTTAAGCTGTCTACTATTCCATATTTTTCAGCTGATGTGGAGATGTAATTTATGATTATTATATTGTTGGATTACTGCAGATATGTGATATGGTGGCTATCGCAAAAATTTTAAATGCCACTCTGGTTCTTCCTTCTCTTGATCATGAATCCTTTTGGACAGATCCCAGGTAACATTCTTTATTTCTTCTGATCAGTTGAGATTCGAGCATGACACGTCTTGGAGCCTTTTTGTTTTAGTTCTAATCCTTTTCCATTTGTTGCAGTGATTTTAAAGATATTTTTGACTGGAGACGCTTCATTGACGTTTTAAGAGACGACATTGAGATTGTTGAATCTTTGCCACCAAAATATGCAGCTGTGACCCCCATTCAGAAGGCACCTGTGTCTTGGTCAAAGGTCTGTAAAAAGAACTACAGTTAGAATGCTAAATTTTTTTGCTTGTTGGAACTAAAATTTGATGCTTTTCTGCAGGCTAGTTACTATAGAGGGGAGATTCTTTCTTTACTAAAGAAGCATAAGGTGATACAATTTACCCACACAGATTCAAGGCTTGCTAACAATGGTCTGGCATCCTCTATTCAGAGGCTTCGCTGTCGAGCAAATTATGAGGCTCTACGATACACAAATGAGATTGAGGAGCTTGGAAAGAAGTTGGTGGATAGACTTAGAGACAACGGTGAACCATACATTGCTCTCCACTTAAGGTAATCTCTCTAACATGGCGTCCCTTCGTCAATTTCTCAACTATTCCATCTTTGGATAAGTTATTTAGCATGTATGCAGATATGAAAAAGACATGCTAGCCTTTACTGGCTGCAGCAACAATATGACTGCTGAAGAGGCTGAGGAACTTCGTATTATGAGGTATCAAGTGAAGCACTGGAAAGAGAAAGAGATAGACGGCAATGAGAAGCGACTGCAAGGGGGATGCCCCATGTCCCCTAGGGAAGCTGCCTTGTTTCTTAAAGCAATGGGATATCCATCCACGACCATGATATATGTTGTCGCTGGGGAAATTTATGGCAACAACAGCATGGATGCATTTCGGAGAGAGTATCCCAATGTTTTCTCTCACTCAACTCTTACAACAAAGGAAGAACTTGAGGCTTTTAGGCATTATCAAAACCGTCTTGCTGCCCTAGATTATCTCGTAGCCCTTGAAAGTGACGTCTTTGTTTATACATATGATGGTAATATGGCGAAGGCGGTACAAGGGCATAGAAGGTTTGAAGGATTTCGAAAGACCATAAACCCTGACAGGTTACTATAATATTAAGATTTTCATTCTTCCTTTATCATCATCACTTAAATTATCTAGGATTTGAGCAACCTAACAATTTTCTTTGGTATTTCTCTTCATTTCAGACTCAATATTGTAAGATTGGTTGATTTGTTGGATAAGGGTGCGATCTCTTGGGAAGAGTTTGCTTCAGAGGTCAAGGCGTTACATTCCAACAGATTAGGAGCTCCTTACCTTAGACAAGCTGGAGAATTACCAAGATTAGAAGAGAACTTTTATGCAAATCCTTTTCCAGGTTGTATCTGTGATAGATCTTTGATGGAAGTGAGCAAGCAGCAAATTAACAAGAGACCGAGTTTGAAAGCTGCTACACAAAGATAAGGATTTATTTCAAGTTGGTAATAGGTTGTAGATTAGACAAATGCCAGCATATGATATATTCAAGGGGCTGCCAAAATTTGAGCCTTTTATGCCTTTTAGTATATTAGACAGCAAGCAACGTCGGAAGCAGAAATGGTGGCTTATAAGACGAACAGAAGAGGCAGAATACAATACAGGTACTCAAATCATTCTTTACTGTGCAGTATAGAATTTTATTCAATTTCTTAGTATTTATTATGATTTGGTTTTTGTAATTAGTTTATTTATTAGGTTTTCCACAGATTATACACGTCTTTGTACACAGTTGCAAAGTTCTTCATCTTCATATTTGTGTCTTTTCCTTCTCATTCCATTATGAATTGAAAGATTTACTTGGTAGTAACTGTTTGCATTACTCCAGCTGCTATGATTATGCATAGATAATATTTCTTATTCCTAAATTCTATACAATGTGAAGAAACTCTTTATATTATTAACTCTTCACACTAGCAACCAAAACCAAGCAAACCTAAATACAGATGATTAGTTGTTACCTTTTTGCTGATATGTAAGGACCATATAAATAGTAGAGAAGAATGAAAGAAATATAAGCTTCAGCACATCTCTATTAGCGTCCATTTGGGAAACGCTAAGGGAACAGGTAGATTACCATAGACTTGTACTTGAAAATACGTTAAGACAGTTTTGAAAGGTTACATAAGATGCACAAAACTTGTGTTCCAGCTGTTGAATTGTGTGACCATCTTATCTAAAAACTTAAAAGAGACTACACTTACTTTATTACAACCTGCTCTGCTACTATGTTGAATACTGTGATTCTATCATCTAGAAACATAAGTTGTCATATGAACCTCCTAGATTTGTAATACATAGAAACGTAACCAGACATCCTCTATTGATTTTGATATAGATAGAAAGCTAATAAAGCATAACTCTAGCAGATGTGTGACCATAATTCAGAGTTTTGGATTTGCTCTGGTTCCTTTACAACGTACACAAAATACATAAAGCAACATTACGCTATTACTAAAAATAGCAGTGACGACAACTGATGGAGTCTGATAATGCTTTCTTATCGTTGAACCTGCATCCTTATCCTGAGCCCAACAGATTGTGGTCCTAAACAAAACTCATTCATCAAGTAAGGTACTGGTTATATTTGGCAAGATTCATACGCCATTGTGTTTCCAGTTTTGTGCTATGATGTCAATCAAATCTACTATAAATAGGACTGTGATCATTGCATTGATGTTGGATGCAATAGTAAATTTAAACAAGTCACATGATTCTGTTATGACGTTTACTAAAGATTCAAGTTCTCCAGTAAGTTTAGCAGTTTCTGGTGAGGAGAAAGAAAAATAACCAAGAAAATACATTGGTACTCACTGAGATTGTTTTCTTGAAAGAAGTCATTCATACGGATGGGGCGTTGAGAGGTCCACGGACCTGCAAAATCCCCTTATTTACGGAGTACTGAGTTTTAGTACTTAGAAAAGGCTCCACAGTCATTTAAAAAAAGGCAGCTCGGTGCACGAAGCATCCCGCGTTTACTCAGGGTCCGAGGAAGAACCACACCACCCCAAGGGACGTGATGTAGGCAGTCTACCCTAACGCAAGCATCAGCGAACCAAAACTTGACCCAAAATGGTTGAAATGCTTGACCGTGAACAAAAATGGTTGAAATGCTTGAGGTGGGGCGGTGAACTGAGAGTTCCGAGAAAGAAAGAATCCCATATCATATGCTACACAGGCTTTCCATATTGGAACTTTTCTTTTCCCATAATTGCAAAGGAATAACTAACGCTCAATTGGACAACAATATATTCTAATTTGTGACCTTACGGTTTGAAATTGAAACATCTTGACCATCCTACTGTCACATAGTAGAGCTCTCCAAGTTAGACTCAATATGCCACTTTGGGCAGGGGTCCTATGTGTAATGTGGGATCATCGGACCCCGTAAACTTCAGCAGGAATCTTGTATATATATTTATGGGATCATCGGACCCCGTAAATTTCAGCAGGAATCTTGTATATATATATTTATGTATAAACTGAAAATGGTTAATTCAAATCGCTTGGCACCCTGCACACTAAAAGTCTTTTGGGGCACTGATTTAACAAAATATTGTGCTTCTGTTGCGTTAAAATTCTGGGGTAAAGATCCGAATTTGTCCCACCAACTCGCGAGCAGAGTGTGAAATGAAAAATAGAGAATAAGGACTTACCACATTAGGTGCTTGCAAAACCACATCAGTTTTACTACTTTACGTTTACTATGGCAAAGCATAAAAATGAGATAAAATATGTGCTAATTATAACTATGAATAATTGACACAAGTGTGCAAAGACATTGTCAACAACGTAAACATATAAACAAGAAATACACAACACAATAATAAACACAAGATAAAGCACGTTCACAAGCTAGCTTCACAGCACAGTTTCATGTTTTTCTTTTTTATACACCATTTTCAGCTCACTCAACTGGAATCATAACTTCATTGGTCTTAAATGGAGGAATTGTCCATGGCGGATTATACCTAGCCAACTCATAATCACCAATTATCTTATACCCATCTCTCTCTAAACATTTCCTTAAATTCTCCACTTTCTCTTTCACCACTTTATCACTTGCAGTCCCACTAAACTGCACTACACCAAACTTCCTTTCCCCTTCTTCTTTAATTGACACCCTTTCATCCAACGGCTTAGGTGCCTCTTCAGCTTTTGTATACTTTGCTGGTAAAATAAACTGCATCGTCACCATATTGTTCTCTCCGTCACCACACTTAGTCACCACTGGTGCAGTCATCGCGATTTTTTCGGACGATTTGGTGATTACAGGAGCTGTCATGGCGATTTTTTCAGGCTTAGCGTTTTGAGGATTGCCAAGTGCGCCGATGTAATTGGCTAATAGCATAAACCCACCGTCTTTGTTTCCTTTGAACTGGGTTGGATCATATGTGACTTGTGCTATAACAGATGCTGGGTATTTGCGGATTTCGTAGTCAGCTGTAGATTGAATCAATTCGTATTTTGGTGTTTCCACAGTGATTTTCCCCAAAATCATGCCCATTTTCGGATAATTGTGATGGAACGAAAAATTAGTTATTGGAAATGGAATTTGAGAATGTTTTGATAGTAAATGGGGGCTGTGAATGAGAGAAGAGGAAGCTTCTTGTGGGAAATCGGAAAGAGACGACGAGAGGACTTGGGAACGGGGTTTTTGATTGCTGCAAAATGAATGGCGGTAGATGAGGGAAGTGCTGTGGAGTTTGTTTTGCCACGTTTGCACCATAAGCTGGTGGAGATAAACCTATACTGGAATAGTTTGTGCTCTAGTTTGGTACCCATAAGAGATAATTAATTACAGAATTAAATTTAAAATTAGTTTATTTCACGTTTGGTAAATAAAGTCGTGGTATAATTAATCTCGATATTAGTTATTCTGGGATTGTAGTATTATTTTTATCTCTATGGGAAGATAAGATAATAATTCCGTAATAACTAATCCTCAGATAATTAATTGTTTCCCAACCAAACTATCCAGTTGTATAGGTCAAAATCTGCCCTAAAATACTTAAGACAAGATAAAGCTAAAGGAAGAGTCTTCAAGCCGTCATCAGTCGAGGTCGACCAAGAAGTAGTGAGATTCGTAGTCGAGATATCAACAAGGGTCAAAGACGAGCATCATTGGCAAAGCTGTAACGGCTAGTTGTGGAAATAGAATATTAAAAAGAATATTCTTTTGGATATTTTCCGCACTTGTATTATTAGGGTTTGTTAAGAATATGTCTCATATAAATAGAAAGGAGGACAATAGTGCAATGGGGTGATACACATTTGTAAGAACACACTTTGACAGAAATATTATCTCTCTCTCATACTAAGATACAAACAACGCCTTTTTTTACCAAGATTCTTATCTACATTATTCTATACTTTCCATTATATTCGAGGATAATTCAAACATTCAAGGATTTGTCTGTCATTCATCATTGTCAGGAGGAATAATATCTAGTTCCTCCTTTATTGGGTGAATCATTCCTTTATTTACTTGAATGCCATTTATTAGCTTGTTGCTATTTAACGCTCTATTATTACTCACGTTACTTGGAATGAATGTTACACACCATTATTATATTTCTACCGGATTTGTCCAACATTAGTCACGCTTTCATAACTCGCATCTAGAATATTATTGTTAACTAGGTTTAACCCCCTAAATACAAAATTTTACTTATATGAGCCAAGAGTTGTACTTTTTGGTCAAACAATTTGGCCCCATCTGTGGGGATCTCCTAGTTAAATTTTTAGTTTTTTCTAGATCTATCACTAATGTAAAAAAAAAATTAAAAAAAAGAAAAGAAAAAAGAAGCAAGAACAAGATCTCTTTTCTGTGCACAAATCCCAACATGGCAGGTAAAAGGGAAGAAAGGACGAGAATAATAGGTGACCTCCAAACCAACCTCATAAACGTCATCAACGAAAGCTGTGAAATAGCAGACGAAGACGCGACGCCCAATGCATCCCCTAGGCGAGATGGATCACCTCCCCCTCACTGCAACATTACAAAATCTCTAGGTAAGGGAGCCTCCACATCTGTGGCGGAGAAGACGCCCCCAGCTGTAAAAAAGCTCCTTGAGGCATGGCTGACTGACACATTAACTAGCGTCCTCCATAAGCACGCTCGGGACTTGGGTACGGAGAACATAAGAGCCTGCGTTATACAACTAGCGGACGAGCAACATAATCAACTCCCTCCAACGACAGGTATTACTCACAATATCGTTAATAGTGCAGGCGATGATACTCTCGTAACCATCCTGAAAAGGATGGAGGAAATGGAGAATGAGACCAGAACACTCCGGGACCAAATAAGAGAACATCAAGAAAGGATCGATAAGATACTAGGCGCCCCTAAACTTTTACCGAAGACAGATGCCGGCCGGTTTATCGAGCAGCCATATAGCGATGACGACGCCCCGCATGCCATAACAAAAACCTTTAGAGTGCCGCCCTACCTCAAAATATACGATGGCACGACCGACCTTGAAGATCACGCAACTCACTATGTCATTGCCGTGAAAGGCAATGACCTCGCCAAAGAACAAGTATCTTCCATTTTGTTGAAAAAATTTGGTCAAACCCTCACAGGAGGAGCGTTGACATGGTATTTGCAACTACCTGCGCGTTCTATCGAAACTTTCGAAGAGATGGCAAGTTCGTAACGGTCCATGTTGGGGCCAAGAAGGCCGAGGCGAGAGTGAAGGATATATTTGCTGCCAAACAGTCCCCCGGAGAAGGATTGGGGGACTTTCTCGCCCGGTTCAACCGAGTAAGGATGTCCCTGTCGAACGTGTCAGAAGGGATGGCGGTCGCAGCCTTTCAAAACGGGCTGAGCAGGAATGGTTCGAGGGCGACTAGAAAGTTATTAAGTGGACTGATGAAGTACCCACCCAACCACTTGGGAGAAAATACAACACACATATTGTGCCGAGGTCCGAGCAGATGAAGACGATCTCAAGGGACCAACTCATCGGCTGACCGCGGTACAGGCCGAACCCAGAAAAGATTGAAGAAATGATACCAGAAGAGAACTCGCGGCTCCGCAACCTAACAGGGAACGATATCAACCGTATGTTAGAGCGACCGCTGCACCCCCTTCCCGCTATGAAAAAGGCCCGCCTAAACCGAGGATGGGGACTCATCAGAATAAATGAGGTATGCCACCTTTATTATCTGCTCACAACTTTTGTGTGTCACCTACAGAAATAGTCTACGCCCTGGAGAAGCTCGGACCAAAGGTGAAGTGGACGCAGAAGATGAGATAAGATTCGAGTACTAGAAAGTCGGACGCCTCTGCGAGTTCCACCAAGAACGAGGGCACAAAATCGAAGATTGTATCGCCCTAAGGCAGGAGGTCGTGAACATGTTACGACAAGGACACCTCAAAGATTTGCTGAACGACCGGGGAAGGACCAACTTTGCTAGAGGCCGTGAACAACACCAAGGATCGCCAAAACCGCCGTCACCAACTCGCACCATTCACATGATCATCGGCGGTGGCGAGGATGCTTCCATTAACATCGTGAAGTCGGATACCAACGGTTTGGCTTTCCCTCACTATGATGCCCTTGTTATTACTTTACAAATTTTAGATACTGATATGAGACGCATTATGGTGGACGATGGGAGCGGCGCGTGCATTATCCATCCTCGAGTACTTGTAGAAATGAAACTCGAAGATAAGATAGTGTCATGTTGCATCACGCTAACTGGTCTTAACAATGCGGTCGAACGAACATCTAGTGATATCACACTCCCCGTTCTGGCCGGTGGTGTCACTTTGGAAACCACGTTCCACATCATGGACCAAGACACGGCGTACAACGCCATAATAGGGCGACTATGGATACACACTATGAGGGTCGTCCTTCCAGCTTGTACCAGGTCATCAAGTTCCCAACCCCATGGGGAATATTTAGCATACAAGGGGAACAACAAACGTCACGGGAATGCTATCGCATTGCCTAGATAGCATGGTCACTCAATAAATGGACAAACAAAAAAAGGCATAACAATCAATAGGGTCGAGGTCGATATGTGATGACGGCGAGGACGTCATCAGGGACCCCGATGCGGTCGAAGCTGTAGGATCGACCATAGAAGACCTCGACCCCGTTCAATTAGACCTCAACAACTACAGCAAGAAAGCTTGCATTGGCTGCAAACTTCCGGAGCCAGGTAAATTATGCCAGTTATTAACTACTAACGAAGATTTATTTGCCTTCAACCATGCAGATATGCCGGGTATCCCGAAGAAAATCGCCACGCACAAGATGAACGTCGACCCTTTCTACCCCCAGTGCGACAGGTCAGACGTAAATTTAACTCTGCAATCAATGATGCGGTACGTAAGGAGGTAGAAACACTGTTGGCAAGTGGCACCATTAGGGAATCGAAGTACCCCCAGTGGGTCGCTAACGTGGTCATGGTTAAAAAGAAGAACAAAAAATGGCGGATGTGTGTGGATTTCATATATTTAAACAAAGCATGCCCAAAGGATTCGTTCCCATTACCCCATATCGACCAACTCATTGATGCAAAAGCCGAGTACGAACTGATGAGCTTCTTGGACGCTTATTCAGGTTATAATCAAATCCTCATGGAAGAAGAGGATCAAGAAAAGACGACTTTCATCACCCATCAAGGGACGTATTGCTACAGGGTCATGCCCTTCGGGTTAAAGAACGTGTGGGAGACTTATCAAAGGTTGGTGACGAGGATGTTCAAGGACCAACTCGGCAAATGATGGAAGTTTATATAGATGACATGCTAGTCAAATCCAAAAGGAAAGAAGATCACATCGACCATCTGAGAGAAACTTTCGACATACTCAGGTGATACAGAATGAAGTTGAACCCCGAAAAATGTGCGTTTGGTGTGTCATCGGGAAAGTTTCTAGGTTTCCTGGTATCACAGAGAGGGATCGAGGTCAAACCCGACCAAATCAAAGCCATCGAGGGGATACCGGAACACTTGACCACTAAAAAGTAGGTTCAAAGGTTGACCGGCAGGATCGCTGCCCTATCAAGGTTCATTTCACGATCATCGGATAGATGTCACAAATTCTTTGCCGTACTCAAGAAGGAAAACAGCCTCGAATGGACTCCGGAGTGTGTCCAAGCCCTGAAGAAATTAAAAACATACTTGTCATCGCCGCCACTGCTTTCAAAACAGAACCGGGAGAACACCTGCTTGTTTACCTCGCTGTGTCCGAAGTAGCGGTGCGCAGTCCTGGTTCGTCAAAACAAAGGTATGTAATCCCCCATTTATTATATTAGCAAAACATTAGTCGACGCCGAGACGAAGTACCCTCACCTCGAAAAGTTATCTCTGGCCTTGGTTATAGCTTCGCGAAAGCTTAGACCGTACTTCCAGTGCCACCCTATCTCGGTCATCATGACTTCCCTCCTGAGAAGCATTTTGCATAAACCCGAGCTATCGGGAAGGCTGGCCAAATGGGCCATCGAGCTAAGCGAGCTTGATAACAAGTACCAGTCGCGAACAACGATAAAGTTGCAAGTGCTCGCTGACTTCGTTGCCGACTTCAGCGCAAAAGTAATGCCCGAAGTTGAGAGAGAAGCAGCTCAAATTTCCCCCCCAAAACACAAAGCCTCTAGGTCCTATACACCGATGGCGTATCTAAAGGGACGGAATGGGACTCGTACTCGAAGTCCCTACATGCGAAGTAATTCGCTAGTCCATAAGGTGCCCGG